GAAGTCTTGAAAATCAATATGAAGTGTACTATTTGTTACTACATCTAATACTTGAAAAGTGCCCGAAAATTGGTGGTCTAAAATGGGTTTATTAAGGTAATGAATACATGAATGAAGTTTCATAATGGACACATGTGAAATAATTTTTCATTATTAATGATAATTGTGCAATTATTTATTGAATATATTTGAGTTATTTGCTACAATTGTATCTTTATTACAAAATTAAATTCGGTAGCTATTAAATATTTTATTTTAGAGTTTTAATAATTGCTAATTTTACGATTATCTTATAAGAGCATTAGATATATATAGGCATAGGGATTTTAAATTGGAGGCACTTCAATTAAAAAATTTTTATATCATTGCTCTCTCAAATTAAGTCCACTTAGAAACGTAGTCTTTGCAGAATGCAGTAAAGAGTAATTGGCGAAACCTTTTAATATTATTAATCCCGAGCACTTACAGCATTGGGAATGTAAGAAGATAAAATCTTAAGACAGGCGTGCGCACTTAAGTCCTTACGGAAATTCGCATTTGTGTAAATATTTGCCAGTGCAAGGAACAGGAAATTGTTTCCTTTCAATTTGGTTTGCTCAATTGCCAATAGACGCAAATAAATAAAAGCGCAACTCTAAGCATTCGTGACTCACATTACCTCAAGAGCAATGGAAGCTTAAACAATAAAAATTCAGTGATAATCCATTAAAAAAAGAATGTAGTATTTTGAAAATTATATATAAATTATATTCATTGTTTTAAATAAAGTGGTGCCAACTCGTTAAGAACGGAGAAGATTCTCTTATATCTAACCAAAAATGTCAACGAAATTGGAACGAGTCCGCAAATATTTCATATCAAAACAAGTTTTCGAGACCCTGAAGCCGGTGTTTTTTCTTACTTTTTTATACGGTTTAACACCTTTTCGTATTACAAAGCATAAAAACGGTGACACAAATGTGAAGACCTCGTTTTTTGGTTACGTGAATATCGCTTTATACATAATTCTTTACGGTGTTTGCTATATTGTGTCGTTGTTGCATGAAGAGTCTGTGGTCGGTTACTTCTTTCGCACAAAAATTTCGAATGTCGGTGATACAATGCAAATATGCAATGGTCTTATTACCGGTGCGGTTATTTATACGTCAGCGATAACACAACGTCATAAGCTACTGAGTATCCTCGTCATTCTACACAGCTTGGATGAAAATTTCCAAAGCATTGGCATTAAAGTAAAATATTCGCGTATATTTTGTTTTTCAATTGTGATGATTGTGTTCAAAACACTAATTATTGGCATTTATTTCGTGGGTGTTTATCTTTTATTAAAATCTGTAGATGTCACTCCATCATTTTGTATATGTGTGACATTTTTCTTGCAACATTCTGTGCTCTCCATTGCAATTTGTCTGTTCTGTTTAATTGCAAGAAGCTTTGAAAGACGTTTGGTTATATTGAATAAGGTAAGTACTTTAACTTTGGAGAATGTGATTACTTACCAAATATAAAATACATGACTAATAAAAAATATATACATCATATATATCAGTAAAAAGAAATAAAAATGAAATAATTAAATCACAGAAACGGAGTTATAATATTAAGCGGGTATTACACATCAAACTTGATCGTACGACTTGTAAGACATCGCTTGCTATTACACACATTCACAACCAACATTATTCTGAGCAAAATAAAATAATGCATGCGTTTAAACGATGTTTTTGCTTCCATCCCTTGAAATGAAACAAAATTTTGCATATACCTAAGCCGACGAAAATCCAATTGCACACGAAAAAACATGAGCAAGTCGGACGAAGAATTAAAATACTTTGATATTTATCCGACTTGTGGTTAGATCTGCAAATATTGCTATTACACATGAGACTTGCCACAAATATCGTATTTCAACGCACAAGTTGTATGACCAAGTCTGATGTGTAATACCCGCTTTAGTCACTATAATTAACTACAATTATTTACAATTAGTTTCTAAATGAAATGAGTAATTTTGTCATAACTTACTTTGAATTTTACTAAATAAAAAAGTAGTGAACTACAACAACAAAAATTGATTTTTATATTATTTTAATTAATTGAATTTTTGGCTGACCATACAGTTGTTTCGAGAGTTGCTAAATACCCATAATCAGTGGTCTTGTATTTTATTATTCGTAAATAATTTTTGGTGACTGCAAGTATCAGGAATTGAACTCGTGCCCTGCCAAATTTGAAGCTCAGAGTCAGCGCTCCTTTATCAACAAACCCAATGCCGGATTCTGCAAATTGATTTTAAAAAATATGATTTTTCAATAATCCATTTTTATTTTACCATTAATTTATGTTTAATGAAGTTATGTTTGTATCACTATTCGTAAAAATTGCTTACACTAATAACGGGTGTTCAACACTTACAGGTGTCGAAAAGTAATTATAAAATTTAGTATATGGTCATATAACTGTTTATTTATATCAGTATAATATTCTAGATATTCTATTAATATTCTAGATATAGGAACATCGAAGGGAACGGAAAAGCTGCCAGTTTAACGCACTCCAGTGCTTCCCTAGCGGTATTGGCTTATGTTACCCTAGAGAAGATTAAGAGTAGTACTTACTTCTACGTTCTTCAACTTGTCAATAACAAATGGAAGTGCCTTCCATGTGGAACTTCCCGGTTAATATAGCCCGTCTACATTAAAACTAGAATTTGGGAACTTATCAAAAGAGATCTTATGCAAAGCATTTTTTATAGCAATTCGTGTGTAGTGTATGTACGCAGAGATACTGAGCATTCCTCATAATCCTCATTGCAGAAATTATGGAAACCTGCAAACAAAAGGAATCATTAAATACCTTCTCTGTGAATGTCAGGCTTTGGCGTTCAGCAGAAATAGGATTTTAGGAAGGTACTTCTTTGACAGTTTTTCAGATTATTCATTGGTAAAGACGAAAGACCTATTATTATCTTAATTCGAAATATTATTTTGTTCCAATCTCTTTTTGGAAAAAAATTAAAATAAATCGACACATTATTTGCGTTATTGCAAACATTAATTTCATTGCTTGGATACCAAGTTAGTTAAGAATAAGTAAGGATTCAAATTAGCATGAAGTGATGTATACACTCTAAGTCTATATATGTGTTAGAACTGAAGACCTTCTTTAAGTATAAAGATCATATAGATTTCATATAGATTCAGATCATATAGATTCAGGTGTATGATTGCCCCTTAATAATAATAGTTCATATCTTAGATATATCAAACTCGATACAGCTAGATGCTATGGTGTGGTTAAGATAACAGTACAAGAATGTTCAGTTAATTAGACTGAGGTAAGTTGGGACTAAGAGTCACTCTGTCAAGTGTGTTTAATTTTAAAAAACTTTTATGTTCTTTTCGTGTTCGCATGTATCTAGTAGACATAGAGTCGTGTGATTTAGTAGTATATTACTACCTGTAATTAGACCTATTTTTAACGTAGTATATGATAAAAATTATTTGTGAATTTATAAATTTATACAATATTTTTTATTTTATATTGTATTTATATTGGACTATTTATTATTTATCCTTAAGCATTGTCACTATTTTCTCCATCGTAATCAAAGTATGTTCTTTTTTAATATACAAGCATTTATTCTGCAATTTTTTACTCGGACTATTAACTAGTAGTCAACTAGCTATACAAACAAGCAGAAATAAATAGATTTTATCATTCGACAGCATTAAATAGCATTAAATGTAATTAATTGCAATATTTAAAGTAATTAAAATAAGCTTAAAACAAGACTTAATTATATTGAACTGACTCAACACGTTTGTTACTCTTACTTTCATTAATTATTAAATTAATTGTCCGAAGTGGAACATAAGTTCGGTTTTAACGTTTTACTGAAGTTTTTAATTATTTTTGGGAATAAAAACCAATGCTTACACGCAATTTATAAATTACCCAACAAGCATTCTATTTAGAATTTTTCTTATCCCGGGTTAAGGATGTAACGCTTTTGTAATTAAGGATGTACTGAATTTGTCAAGATTTCATTCTATACATACCCACATATTGAATTGAATTGTCATAATGAAATGACATTATGTATTCACATCAAGACTTGCCATCATACAATATAGAGTACTTTAAAATCTGCTTAATTGTAAAAAGATCTACAAAAATTGTGATAATTCTTCACATCTATAGTTGTAAAGCTAATTCTCCGATGTAAACACACTGAATACATCTCCGATCTATAAACACATACATTTTGACACAAATGTGAGTCTAAATCATAAAGTAACTGTCCATGATATCTACACAAACTGACTGTATGGTGAGGCATTTAGTCTGGGAGTATGATAAGCATCACTTTCTTCGAAGTGTTGAAGGTGTAACACAAACATGTGATTATCTACTTCTTTCTAGATAACACATTCTGTTTTGGCTTCATTGCGCAAGAAATTTCGCTCATTGAACAATCTCCAAAGTCTTAATAAGTTATTGACTATTATTCTAGATATGACCATAAACTCTGATGGTTTTATTCCACTAAATAATAGTAGATATTTTATTCTAATCATAAGATTTAAGAAGCGGCAAGTATTTTTTTTTTTGTGACTTAGTACCAATTTAGTAGCAATAACCCTTTTCCTTCCTTAATCCTCCTTCCCAAAGAAATATAACTATGCTATATGAATTGCTATTTCTCATATTTCTTTTTTTGGAAAAGGAGTGGTAGCAATCATGCTACCTCGCCTTCAAAAGAAATATTGTTGTTGTTGCCTGTCGAGTTCTGCTTGTGTAGTCCCAGTTGAGAGTGGTGAACGGTACTTGGTCGTCAAACTTGGTGAGGAGTGGTATTGGCACGTAAACACTGCCGTTCTTGGAACCGTAAAAAAAACAATCTATTCTTGGTTTTCTCAGATCCTTCAATCGATGGCAAATGGATTGAATTTGTGTTTTTTTTAATTCAAGTGTTGTGTTTTTTTTTATTAACACAGTGCTATAATATAATAAGTCCCGGATCTCAGCACCCGTTATTGGGTGGAGAAGATTCAAAAATTTTGAGCATTTAATTTTTCTAATTTACCGGACAGAACTGGCATGCTTTAAAATAAATGAACCATCTAAGTTTAGTTCGCTTTACATAGGAACTATTTACCTTTATTTAAATGGGAGAGTCAGAACTTTACAAAGTGATATTGTTAGTTCACTATGTATTTTGAACGTTAACCTTTAAGGTGGTTTTTCAGGTTAGGTGTCTGGACTTTCACTTACAATGGGCAATTATTTGTACTCAAATGGATTTTGGTGTGTAAGACCGCCACTGTGACTTTACCCAACAGTATTGAGACAACCATGCTTTACGGTGAACTACTCTATATCTATATTTTTTTTTTAATGAGCACATATTTTGGATATATAAATGAATATATAAAAACTGCTTTCACGCAAGTTTTTATATGATTACTGACTAAACTTTACAATCGTATTTACTACAAAATGGACCTGTATATAATTATTTTATTTATAAAATTTAATTTACTTGAAAATCATATTAATTGAATATATTTCAAGCTCTGCTTTACTTACACTAAATTGCTGTTGTAGTCGTACATTAGAAAGTCAATTACATCCATTAAAAATGGCGTTTGAGAACAAGTTCAAGCTCATGTTTATTTTTTTAAAGATTTTAAAAAAAGTTTCGCAATAATTGGTTTTAAAACTCAATACAACACTTTATGGATATTACAAAAAAGCTACCCTATAATTACGTATGAAAATTATACATAGTATGTATACAGTAATTAACTGATTACGGTCATCCCTTGAAGCGAATTAAATTGCCCCTTGCAAGAAAAACGAAAAGAAAAGTATTTATCAAAAAAAAAGGAAAAAAAACAAGAAAACGTTCATGGTTATCTGGGGTGTAATTATTGTGAATGAAAGTAATTAAATCAACAAGTCAAACAAGGTACATACTGTCAACACTAACAGTACCGTTCCTTCCGACAGTCACGACAGCCAACTGCTGCTGTTTACCACTCAATTACATCAGCATAGACGAAACTTTTCAGCATGCTAAGGTCAAGCACAACGCTCACCTATAAAGCAACCAAAATGGTTGACACCTACAGAAAGGACGCCGAACGAGTGAACAACTGAACGCTCACAAACGCAAATTGCACTCCGTGTGCAGGAAGTAGTACCTCGCGGCGGTATAAATATATGGGAGACAAAGTAGGCGGACGTACTTCAAACAGTTCTATAAACCATAAATTTCCCTACTAAACTATACGTACCAATTTATGGAAACAATAGCAATTGCGGCAATAATGCCTTAATAAGCGACAGACGGACATGTTGATTGATATTCAATATTTAGTGTCTATCGTTTGCCATAGATTATGTGTGTACTTGCATGCTAATCCTGAACCGGCAACAGTTGTGTGGAGTATTTCACTTTGAATGGACGTGCGAGCCGGCGTGATGGATGCACAATTTGAACGTACAGGACGCGGTTATTGGCGTCGTCTATTTTCCGCAAAGCAATTATATGAATGCCTGCAGCCACTATTTGTGGTGATGTACTGGCACGGTTTGACGCCGTTTTATATAGCAAACGATAGTGAAGGGAACAAGATTTTGAAACATTCATTGTTTGGTTACCTGAACGGAGTCGTACACATAATTGTCTATAGCATTTGTTATATTTTCGCTTTACTGAATGATTTCGAAACAGTTGCGGGTTATTTTTTTCAAACGCGTATCTCGCAATTCGGTGATTGTATTCAAGTGATTAGCACCCTAATTGGTGTGACTGTGATTTATGTGACCGCTGTAATACCAAAACATCGCCTACAAGATAGTCTCACATCCATCCAACTTACCGACACTCAATTGCGTGGCGTTGGTATTAAAATTATGTACAGCAAAGTTTTACGTTTTATTTACATGATTTTATTTGTCATGATTCTGGTTAATTTTTTCTATACCGCCGGAAATTTTGCACTGATTAGAGCTGCTTCCCAGATCACCCCATCCGTGTGCGTATATGTGACTTTTATAATGCAACATTCCGTGATTACGATAGCGATTGCCTCGTTCACGTGCATTACAAAAATGCTGGAGATGCGACTGAATATGATGCACAAAGTAAGTAAAAATCTATACGAAAAATAAATAAAATAATTTAAACGAAAATTTGTACAGGAAATAGCTAGTATATACCATAAATATATAACTAAAGTGTTTAGTGCGTGATAGAAATACATACAATTTTTATATGAAACTGTGTTAAGAATTTTTCAAAACAAATATGCAATCTATTTTCAATATGTAATCTTAACAATTAAGAAAAATAAAAAATTCTAAACATGTCCTATAGTTCATACATATACAATAGAAAGATGAATCTAGCAGTCCAGTTCCTTATACTTCCTTACCCTTAACCTTAAAATTAATTTTAATTTGTAAACTCACAAATAAACAGATAAATACATATACAAACAGCATTTCAAAATGAAGAAGACATTTTAAAAATAGATTATCTAAATAGGTTATCTAGATAAAATAGATAATCATCTATTGACAATTACATGAATTGTCAAGATAAGTTGTTTCACTGATATGCTGCAAAAATTTTGACACATAGAAGCAGTTGTCCAATACGTCGGTACAAGATTTTTAGATAGCTTCTTTATTCACAAAAAATCCGCACAATATTAAAACACTTATATACGTCGACTGATTAGAAGGGTTAGGCGATTGAAGTGCTACCAACTACACATAGGTATATACGTCTAACTGATATTGCCAACTAAGTGAAATTAATACGAATGACACATCTTTACATTATTTACAAGCTACCTCAAGCATCTGCTACTCTATTTTATAGGAGAAAAGTTATTAAAAATAACTTATTTCGGCCACCCGAAATAATTTTCCATTTCAAGTAATGGTATGGGCAGCTGTGATGGACGCTCTCCCATCATTTTCGTTGAGCCTGATGTCAAAGTCAAAGTCACTTATTATCAGGAAAATAGTAAATGTTTTGGAAATTGCTTTAGAGCCGTGGGCATGCAAGCATTTCGGTCATAGACCATGGACGTTCCAACAAGATGCCCACGCGGCACCATTTTATATAGTCGCTTGAATAGTTAACACTTCAATCCCTTAATTCTGTATTTTTAAAATGCAATTTTTGGTCAAAAATTGAATACAAGTATCAGTTGATGTTAGCAAATTCAGTTCACAAGTCGGAAATTGCTCGGAATAATCCGGAGGCCTTTGATCAAGCTACGATGTAGTAATTTTTTTAAGATGTTTATATTTAGAACTATGAACTTTAATGCACTCTTTTGAACTCTACCTCATAATATGAATATGATACTTATGTGATAAACATTTATCAGTCTTACAAGGTTTATAACATAACTGGATAATACAAAAATCTCGTTATTAATAGGGATTTCATCTCTAAATCTCTAAACACCCCGAGTGTTTAACTTCTTCTTCTAGAAAAATGCATTCGCTGATTAAAGCAAGAAATATTTTTTGCTCGTCGTACCTGACCAGAGGTTCTGCAGAGAAGAAGAGGGGACCCCAAAGCACCAGCTGAGAAGTTGGTTAGCACTAACATATATCTGAAAAATAGTCTTATAGGTATTCAACATCTTATTATGATGAATTGACACTTTGAAGATCAGGAAGAATACTACTTTTTATCACAGAAATAAGACTAAGTGTGTCAGACTCAGAGAACATAATAGATCTTTAGGTTGCGATGCAATATATCCTCGTTATAAGTACTATTTTGATTTTAATAGATGTGTGTATCTTTTTAGCTTTAGCTATTCAAGTTATGCGAACGGAAAATTGAAGTAATTGAAATAATATACAAGCATATTGATCAGTTATGGCTTATTTTTTTTAATCACAACTGTAACTGTGGACTCGAAAAAGAAGAGAAAAATGCTAATTATCCACAAAGGAAATCGTAAAAAGATGTCTAAAATCTATAGCTTCTAAATATTAAACAGGTATTTATTTTTGGTTCAGAATAGGCGCCTATTTACGTAAAGCACACAAAATTAACTTGATCTAAGGTTCCGTCTTAGTTAAAACAGCTGACTGGTACGTTTCTTGTCCAATCTTAGGTAAAATTTGATAAAATTTTTTGATGTAAAAAAATAAATTCCTTCTATTTACTCCTAACCCAATAGTTCTGTCAACGTATCAAACCATTTCCAAACATATGTATATTCGATTGATACTATTTATATATGTCTTATATATACAAATTTATTCTTTTGAAGCTTGCCATGATTTTATAAAAAAAATTCAATGTAAAACTCAATAATTGTGTCATTATTTATTTTTTTTTTGTTTTAAAAATTGTCACCATTTTTCTCAAACTCCGAGTCAGTACGTATAACAAAATGTTCGGCGGTGACGGTGACAAAGGCCAATCTGGTAAAAAATTCAACGAACGTAATGAATTCTCAATGAATAAAAACGCATCGGACCGCCGAACGAGGCAACAATTCAACAATTCACCTGAAAGTAACTTAATTGGTACAACAGGTATGCGTAAACGTACTGGTCTTTACTCGGAACGTAATCACATCGCACATGAACTTGACCACAAACTTCAACACGACTCTCGTGGTCGTGAATGCGCAACAGTATTACACGGAATCGAAACTAGTTCTGCGAATCAAAGGCAATCACCGGAGTACAATCCAGCACTACAATCAGATGATTTATTAGATAAACTAGAACACATATATATGCATGACCCTCCTGGTCCCCGAATGAAAAATGAATTACTTCGTCTGATTGGAAATGATCATAGGCAAGATATGACCGAGGAAGAATTGATTAATTATTTGTATCAATCCATGCAAAATTTTTTGGATTTAGTGCAGAAAAATAACAGAATACAGCAGGAGGAACTGTGGAGACCAAGAAGATTGCACGAACGAGATTCTCAACGATATATGCCAATCCAAGAGCAACATTCGCAGAGTGACGTTGATGCATTCAACAGTGTTTTAAATAACCCAAGTTATTTTTCCAAAAAGGAAAAATCTCAAGTTCGATTTAGTGAGTGCTCTTATGAAGAACTTCCTAAAAAACGTATTGTTGGTCCACCAAAAAGTATTCTCAAACATTGTTCTCATGTTCCTAAAGAATGCGAACCATCAAGTTCGAAAATTTCTCCTAAAACTCAAGATGCTAAAAGTGGTGTCAAAAGTAATAAACCTAAGGAAGGCAATAAAAAAGACGAAAATGTCAAAAATATCAAAAATGCCAAAAATGTCAAAAGCGTGTCTTTGCCGGTAAGTAAATCTATCAAGAACAAGAACTCGAGCAAAAAACCAATTAAAGCACCAGTTAAACCGATTGTCTCACAAACTAAAAAGAAAATAATTCGTCCCATAAAATTAGTTAAACCTAGTTTAAAATTTGCACAGAAAAATATCGAAAAGCAGCCATTAAATGAGGATGATATTCCAAGTTGCTCAGCTAAGAGGATGGTTAATCCTTTCAAAAGATTACGACCTGGTCCGAAATGATAAGGACTGAATATAACTCATAAGTCTGCTGTCAAAGCGCAGCATGACAAGAATACATCCGTTAAGTAGAGAAATACAGTGCAGTGTAGATAACAGAATTGAGAAATACCTTTTGGACCCATTCAGAAAACTCAAAATTATTGGTATACAGAGAGATAAATAAAGTCTTTAATTCTGCGCTTTTCGCACCAGTTTTCGACAAAACCTGTTTAAACCAGAATAAAGTATTTTAGAAAAAGTATTTTCTATTTTTAGTGTTATTTTTTTTGCGAATATTTTACTAATTTTAATATTGGCTGATATTGAACCTATTAATGTAAAGCGGATATTGGTTTGAGAGCCCTGTGTTGGAGAGTTCTCAGGAGATAGTATTAAACTCATTTTCTTTGCCTTCTTAACGAGAGGGTGTGCGATGTTGCGTTGTTTTGATAATGCTATCTCATAGGTAAAAACTTCAAATTCGCATCTGAATGCCGATGCCTGAGTATGAGAGTATGTATGGAACCTTGACTTGTCAGGTGTCATCTGACGTTTGCATACAAAAGTTTGACATAAATATAACATACATAACACTAATCTTTTTGACAAAAGAATAATTCGCCTTGTAAGGAGCTGTCATATAAATGAGCTAATTAAAAATAAATCAACTCATATAAGGCGAAAAATGTTGAATGCAACCATGAAAAATAAATTTCTCACGAAGGAAATTAGCAAAATTTAAAATATTTGTCATATGTAAATTAGCTTATGGTAATGGAAACGACTAAATCTTGATTACATTAATAATAATATAAATATAATATAAATAGTTTTAACGACAGTAGAAGCGTGATATTATTGAGATTGTGCACAGACGTTATTTTCTTTTCGATATGGGATCAATTTTTTATTAGTTTGTTCTTCAAAAACTTCTAATATAGATGTTGCGACAATCATTGAATATTATATTATAATAAAAATCCAATATCCTCTTGGGCGACTGTTGCATCTTTTTCCCCTTTCGACGGTTATCCACTCAGCAGACCATCAATTTATTTCCATTGTAATAAACCCATGTTGTATTCAAGATACCATATATTACAATGAAATTCTTCTCATTGCTCGTAAAAGTAGAGTGCATAGTTGTCAATATCCAAAAATGTCTGCATAAAATAAAATAAAATGGAATTTTAATACCTCTTTATTTGTATTTTTATTTACTTACTTACCTCAAAGGAATAGTTTAGATTAATCATTCTCTATTAAGGCATTCAATTGTAATTCTGAAATGAACTTTGTATCTATCGATGGATTTGTATAACACATGACTTAAGTATCTGAAATTGCTTAAATTGCTTTATTGGCTTGTCAGTGAAATATAACACCCAGCACAGTATTTCAGGCAATTAAGTAATTACTTAACTATTGCACTAGAGCAGTGAAACCAAAGGCAGACAATGAAAGCAGACACTTCCGGGAATACCTAAACCTGTCAAAAAAAAAAAAAAACCAACAATCCATGCAATCAAAAATATGTCAATAATAAGAGATATCGTCGCATATTGGCTACCTTATAAAAAAACCACTTTAGATATTTAATCAAAAAATTAAAACAACGTTTTTTTATTACTTAAATTATAGGTATTATTATAAAATTGACAACGATAAATTGTTGAACTCGTACATTGGTGCAACCCTTCTAGTTTCATATTAAAATATTATTTTATAGATATTATATAAATATATACATATATAGTAGTGTAGTGTTATCCCATGTGATTTGGTTAATCAGTCTGTTTAGGAATCAAATGCTTTCACTTAATTTTCGTAATTATTCTTTTGTTTTGTTGTCAACTTAGTCGAAATTAATTCAGTTATTGTTTTGATTAAAGTTACTATTATTAGAAAATGATTAAAATGCTATTAAATTCATTTTATATATATGGAACCGTATACTTGAATTTGACAATAAACACATTTTGTCCTAGATCTAATTAGACTTGTTTCACAAAAAATCTTAATAAAGCGACATCTATGACTGAAGAATTGTAGGTGCATGATATATACTTTATTTGTTTACGAATTCGTTTGACATGAAAAATAAAAAACAGTTAATAAGTTCTGTTTAAAACTGGATACATTAAGAATGAGTAGACATAATTTTTCCGTATGTTCAAAATTTTTGTGATCATCGAGGTAGCCTGAGGATAGTGACTGGATGCTAATAATGCAATAAGGAAAATCTGTCTATACTTTGTGTCATACACTCTGGAGAATGCTTAAAAAAACTAACGAATACAGCACTTCAAAGGTACACTTAAAATGTCCCGAAGTTCCATTCCTACCTGTCAAGCATGTCAGCCACCGTAATTGGTCATGAAATGTAGTGACTTCAAAACGAATAGAACACAAAATGCCCAACTCGAACCCAGACTTCGACATGAAAATTGCCAGAAAAACTAAGAGGAAGGAAATTATACTTTCAGAAGACCACGATTGATTATTTTCCTTATTTCAAAGGGAATAGTCCATAATAAATTCATTCCATAAGGGCATACGGTAAATACAAAAAATATAACCTAAGAGTTCTGTAACGATTCTGGATTGAAACTCGACCGAAATATTGAGATGGTTGGTTTGCAAGGATAACGCACCATATATCTTAAGAAATAATGATAAGTGAATTTTTGATAAAAAAAAGGCATCATTCTTACCGAAAATGAATTGCGTATAGCTGATTTGATTCAGGACAATTGTCGGTTATTCACAAAACTTGAGTTGACGATGAGAAGAAATCATTTGCATACCATTTAAGTCATCCAAAATGCTTTGAGTAATATACTTTAGATAATTCCGATCAATTAGTACAAAATATTTTACTATTTCATATAAATAATAATAAATATCGAAATAATAAATGCTTTGTAATTTTTGGAAAATTTTAAGATCAGTCTCTTCGGATTTGGCATAGAATGCATTTTCTTGTCTTTAATCATTATTTCTATCTATTCTATCTGAATAAATAATCAATCTTAGAATATTTTTAGAATTAATTGGACATTGTTTTACTTTCACTTTAAATGATCTCATAATATTTTTTTTAGTTTATTATTTAGGTCTTATTATTATGGGCTTATATTCCTGAAATATATATTAATATATACCTTAATAATCTTCTTTAACAGACTCAGTGATATTTTCTACATTAGTATTGGATAAATACTCGCATTTATCAATGCTTCAAACTGGTATTACTTGACCCTTCTTCTACCCATTATTACGAAGATTTGTGAAGGATACGTTCCTATCTCCAGTTCAACTAACTAACTAACTAACTAGCTAACTGCTTTTTAGGCAAAAGAACCACAGAAGACTTAACTCATCTTTAAGTTTTCTGGATACATTATTTTGGAGATATTGTTTTCGAGATAATATTAATGGATGTAAATTTACTAAAACGGAATTTTCTTTGACGAACTGTTCCTTAAAATACAGTCTAAATGATCTCACTGCAGTACCTTTTCTTTATTCCTTGAACCAAAGAATCGCCTATTTAATTATGTGGCAGTATATGGCGAAACACCCTGTATATAAATATTTAGACAAACGCTGTTGTATAAATATTATTATTATATAAAGTTATTAATATACTATACTATTAATATATTATTAATATACATGTAATTTGTAGTTTAATATACTTGCAGCCAACGACATTAATATCTATGCTATATCTCTATGGAATTTGTTTTTAGTGTTACTATTTAAAATAATTTTATCCATCCATTCATAATCTTAAGTTCAAATTTTCATGAAAAACCTTGTACTTCCGTCAGGAAACTCCCAAATACATTAAAAATAAAAAATTTGATTGACTGAATCGTTTAAAAATCCAATTTTCACTTGTCAAAACAACGCGTGAGAAAAATAACTGGCAATTAAAGTCACTTTTTTATAATGAAATTTATTAAATTTTTCCTATAAATACGAAATAAAATTCGCTTTAACATTAAGTAACTAAAGTCTATTGAACCTTCTAAGAACTTTCAATTTAATGTCTAAGTGTTACGAATTTTTTCATCCGAGCGATGCATATTCAGCTAAGCAAATACTATTCTTCGTGACATTCGTTCTGGGTTTAACACCTTTACGCTTACATGGACCAACCGGAAATCGAAAAATAACCATTAGTCGTCTTGGCTATAGTGCTACAATTTTACAAGTAATCTTCTTTATGTTCTGTTACATATACTCGTTCATACACGATGAGTCCATTGTGGGTTACTTTTTCAAATCGGAAATTTCTAAAATTGGAGATACACTGCAAAAATTCATTGGCATGACTGGACTGCTTACGCTATTTGGCACCAGTTTGTGGAAATGTTGGGACATTATCTATCTATTTCAAACAATTTCCTCGACTGATGTACGATTTTTGGATTTGGGCGTGGTCTTTAATTTTCAATACGTTATGAAATTAATTAATTCAAAACTATTTTTGATTTTTAGCTTAAACTTTTTTTATGTGAGCTCAAGTCTTTGGCTGCTCTTTCGCAACGACATATGGCCGTCATTACAAGCTATCGTCTCTTTTTTCACTCCGCATATATATTTACTAACCATTGTCGTGCTTTTTATGTCCTTTTTAATACGTTTAAGTCAGCATTTCGAAATGTTAAATAAGGTAAGTCAGTTTATTGATTAACTTGAAAGATAACAGATTAAATATAGAACATATATAATTTATACATCCTTATAATATTAAAAAATATATTTTGTGAGTTTCTGATATATAACAAAATCATGTTTTTCATACACAATTTTGAGCTCTTTTTAATTCTATGTGAGATGTCTAAAGTCTTTTAAGCTTAAGTCTAACTTTTTTATCTCTGAAAGTTTAGTAGAACAAAGCATTAACAAGGGAAAATAATTGTCCACATAAAATATGTACCAGTATTGGTATCCAAGACTTTGTGCAGGAACTGAATAGTAAACAGAAACCCAAAAACCGTTTTGGGTTGATGGTAAAAAACAATCGAAATGGAACCTATATATTTTTTCAATTAAATCGGAATGAAAATCGAAATGACATATTGCTGGTTTGAAGCCCTTTTAGAGTCCAGGTTAACCAGTTAGCAGATAACTAAAGGTTTGGAAACTAAAATATATGAATTCAAAACCAGTATATTTTTTTTTATTAAACCGGAATGAAAATCGAAATGACACTATGCTGGTATGACTCCGTCTTGGAGTTCAGGTTATTGTTGGTCTCCAATTATAAACTTTAAACATTTATAACTATATTCATCTGAAAGGTTTCGAAATAGATGAATTTTTAGCATATTTGTAACTTTGTTTCGAATGTCTAATGTATCACTTTTTACTAAATCTATTTTAATCGTAACAATTGTAACTTTATTGATCATTGTAGCATAATAACCACCCGATAATCATCCGAAATTCTATAATTATAATTATTATGATTAGTCTATAATCAGTACTGATTTTCCTCAAACTGAGAAAAATTGTTGAATAATTTAATTGTTACTTATTCAATTAACTGTGGCTTGTGACTTGGCATATTTTATTAAAAATGCAGAATATCTTCTGAAGTTAGATTTTTTTTAGAGTCATATTCTGCTGATCTATTTCTTAAAATCGTCAATTCCGAGTCTTATATAAAGCTGTACGTTTATTGATTAATTTTTCATCGATCTTCGTAGTAGCATGTCAATTACACTTTCACTTACTCCGTCATTTATTTTGGATCCATAAGTTTACCAATATTATGTTTCAGTTCTCAGCCTATACGGACATTGATATTTTTAAAGAACTTAAACATCTTTGAACTTGTGATTGCTTCCATCTAATTCTGGAATGAAAACATAATTCATTAAACTTATTTAAAACCAATTCTGTAGCCTATTTATTATATATTAAATAAATTTTGTAGTTGAACTACTTTATCTTAAATGGATATATAACGCGATACTAACTATATTTCACAGAGCTTCCATTCTTCCACTCATATCACTCATTGAAGTGATTCTTATTGCAATTGTCGTACTTAGACATTCCACCCTCTGGATTTTGTTAAGTCCATTGCGGGTTTTGATTTCATCCATTTTTTGCAGAAGATTTATGGATTATAGAATGAATTTGTCGATGGATTTGCAATGTCATTTAGACTTCACTAAAGTATTTTTATTACACTCTAAATATTTTATATCATTTTTATGCTGAATATTAGTGTTTATTATATTAGTATATATATGTCCAAAATAAATCATTATAAATACTGTGAGCTCTTTGTATGAATCAGGTGGAGTCGAATATACGGAAAAGAGGGTCAGAATGCTTATAAATCAACCACAGTCAATGATTCAAGTATGATTCGAGTGTTGAGTACTCATTGCAGTTCTCTGGTGAATACAAACAAATTGACTGACATCACTCAAATGATTTTTCTAATAGTTCTATTAGTTTCCAACATGTGTAGTATTTCGTTTACAAGCTTTTTGACACACATAATACATTCTTTATTCACTGTGATATGGAGTCTATAAAAATTTAACAAGTTATACAAGTATCTAATCAACATAAAAGGTAATATCTGACCTGAATCTAACACAACTGTCTAATATAAAATTAACTTTGTTCCAAATGAATGTCAGCAAACCCTTTAAAGTGACAGAAGGCTAAGATATAAACACAGGCGGTAATTTCATTGTCTAAATACTTCGGGTAGTCATTAGTATCTTTAGAAATATCAATTTGTATTATACATTTATTATGTCAAATATTCGCTATTGCTTTCAATTATCCTTTCAAATGAAATATCAAACAAAAAAGCATAATACAGTCTGAGAATAAATTAATTACTTTGCAATCATCCCACTTTGGTTAAGTGAATACAATTATTGGGTGTGGGTCAATATTAAACATTATGAAAATTAACTTTCGTGACTCACAACAGGATGTGGAGTGAAGGATATATTTGTTTATGCTTTAAGTGTACGCAAATATTCACGTGCACCATCTTATCTAAGTACATTGATGAAGATAAATAAATTAATATGATTGCATTGCAATTCTCACGCACCTATTCCATTTCCGAACGACTCAGGTCAGTATTGAATTTCTAATAGCCGGAATGTCAAACACGAATAAAATGCAAAAATATAGAACGTAATTTTTTCGAGATGTCATTTTACAAAAAGTTTCAATAAAATTTTATACTTTTTATCTATAAATTGTGAATAGAAAGTAAACATATATATTCGTGTATATAATAATACTAAATAAATTGAAAAGAAATTATTTTCAACCAGAAGAGAAAATAACAAAATATGGGACTATTGGAGTATTTTCAAGATTTGCATAGAGATTTGCAACGTCCAAAAAATATTTATGGCTGCCTACGTCTATTATTTCTTATGGCATTTATTTTCGGTTTAGTGCCTTATCTAATAACTGACCCCCGTAAACCTATGCTGCGCACCACACACTTCGGCTACTTTAATATGTTGGCACGCATTGTGTTTTACTGTGGAAACTTCACCTACAGCATAGCAAAGGGACAATCACTGCTCACCCACTTCTTCCTATCAAATATCTCGAGTTCTACGGACTCGCTGCAGAAATTTAACAGCATGTTTGGTATATCACTGGAACTGTTCTTTTGTCTACAAAAGCGTCATCATTTAGTCACCACTATGTGACGTTTTCACGCACTGGAGCAACGATTCTTCAACGCTGGCGTTTTTTTCTTGCAGAAGAGCTCGGCGAAAAAAATCAATCGAATCATTGCCACATTTATGTGTGTTAACTTCGTCTATATTATTTTCAGCTTGACTTTTCTCATAGTACGTATTGGGCCGGAACTTACTTTTCCAGCAGTGATTGCGTTCTTCTCATCGAATATAATAGTAGGCGCTTTAGCCACGTTCTTCTTTTGCTTCACACGCAAAATGACTGATTATTTTCGTGCCCTGAATAAGGTAGGTGGGAACTTTTTTTTAGTTTTCTAATCATGCAGTCTCTGCAGTCTAAACTACTCCATAAGTAAAATTTTTGAATAACACTTGATGCTTAATGCTTTTATTCAGAGTATTGAGGGGATGGATCGAGGCGTAGGGATCGATATTATACCATAATAGTAAAAATTATACTGCTTCTTCTCAACCATCTGATTCCAATAATATATTTCAAAGTAAAATCGAATTATATGCTTAAGTGAAAACATTCAGAACATTATTGGAATTTCACTTTCCTCATCTAGGCTGTATATATAATAAATATGTTTGTCTTATCTATTCTTAAAAATGCTCCCCTTACTCTTACCAAGGACACCCTATTTGAGTATTGTTTGCTCGTAAATAAACTATTCATTGAGATATTGATATGGCCAGTGCATGTCATATGTTATATGTTATATCTATGTAAGTTTCACTGCTACTTGAGAGCTATTTCTAAAATTTAGATATAAAGACTCTAGCCTAGCTCTTTTTTCTTGTAAGGTGAACACCCTTCAATATGGAAATCTTTTAAAAATTTGTATAAATACAATACAACGGGACTGTAAAGCGTATGACTCACTAGTTCGATGTTTTTGATATGTGCTATCTCGCATTGTCGTGGTAGGGGATGATCTTACTTCAAAAGTTTTTTTTCTTCAATTCTCGGAAGACTTCAGGTAAACAAATAGTTGTGCATCAATCAGAATTGGCTGTACACTTCATTCTTATATACAATAGATTCTTATATACAATAGATATCCTTGTTTTTAACTAGCTATATTTGTAATCTGCTCGGTTAGAGCCAATCTGCACAATTTAGAAAGCTCTGAAATTAATGTTAATTATCGTTGTCTCCAAGGTTTTATTGAAAAGTAGTTTTGACATATTTCAGAACTACCACTGATCTATCGCTACCTGTGTATGCAAATGCCTATATGGCCAACAATTTTAGGTATGACCCATCAGTCACATATTTACTAAAATTAATTTATGCATATGTTATATGACCCCAATATGTGTCAGTAAATAAATAAATATTGTGAATATTGAAATATTTTGAATATTTTTGTTCGATTTTTGATTTTTACTATATTTAAACATTGATATAGCTATCAATATCAATATCAATAACCATCAATATTGATGGTTTAATAAGTGACTTAATAATGACATTATGTTTTTGCTGTATTCATTAAGGTTCTTAAAAATCTCTCTCATCAATGGGATAATCGTAACACCAAATCAATTGCACATAAACAAAGATCACTACAATGTTTGGACTCATTTTCCATGTATACAATGGTTAGCAAGGATCCAAGTGAAATTATACAGGAATCAATGGAAATACATCATTTGATTTGTGATGCAGCATCAACAGCAAATAAATATTTCACATATCAGCTACTCACCATTATATCAATTGCATTCCTCATTATTGTATTTGATGCGTACTATGTACTGGAGACAATTCTCGGTAAATCCACAAGAGGCAGTAAATTTAAGCCTGTAGAGTTTGTGACATTTTTCTCGTGTCAAATGATACTTTATCTCATTGCGATTATATCAATTGTTGAAGGTAGCAATCGTGCCATTAAAAAGGTATAAAATAAGTATATTTCTATATTAACTAATATTGATTATTAAACAAAACCATTCTCTTTATTGTCATTAATTACTATAGAGCAAAAAAACGGGTGGAATTGTACATTCCCTATTGAACAAAGCTAAAACACCTGAAGTCAAAGAGAAACTACAACAGTTTTCGATGCAATTATTACACTTGAAAATAAATTTTACGGCAGCTGGACTTTTTAATATTGACCGTACTCTCTACTTTACGGTAATTTCTTAATATTTATAAAAATTAATCATTTAAATAAATTATCCTTTTAATTTTTTATCAACAGATCAGTGGAGCACTTACAACTTATTTGATTATTCTGTTGCAATTTACATCAACTGCACCAAATGGACAACAGATGGCAGTTGACAATGAATTGTCAAGCGAACTCGCCCTAATGAACTTGTCAAATTTTTCAATAGATAATAATATTTCATAATTTTAAGATTTTATTTATATTGTCTATTATTTGCAACAGAGTACTCATAAAATGTTTTTGATATAACTCATATAAACCGCTTTGTATGTTATTATTAGTGTTTTGTAGTAGTAGCAAAAATAAAATATGTCGGTATATATCGACTATGGATTTAGTATATTTATTTATACCACGGTTATCTTACAATATATATACAAAAGTTAGATTAAATACTTTGCATATATGGTACATACATAAATATATACACTAACACCCCGATTTGCGTCGTTAAATCGTATCACATGTCTCCATATTTTTAAAGAATTAAATTTAATATATCGACAGAGCCCTTTTTTGCGATGTAATTCGAATCAACATAAATCGGTGCATTAGTGTATATTTAATTCAAAGTTCTGTCAAGTTGGACCTGTCAACGACCAAATTAATTCAAATATATGTAACTATAAAACAATGTTTCTTCATCAATAAATATTTGCGTAATGTGTCATAGAGATGACCTATCTAAAGTTATATAGGAAGTACTGGCTCAATATGCGATGCTCAACCAATAAAATAATTGAAATCATTAAATAGTTTAAAATCTATGGGAATTTTATTTAAAACTCTCTCACTTTTCTTTAATGTACTTGAAAGTAGTGATATATTATTCACTCTACGCTCCCAATAATAACTAAAGAAAATTAATCTATTTCACAGATTAAGTATAAATCTAATGATCCAACTTGAAGTGCAATCAGAAAACATATACACAGTCTCTCTCAGATTTCACTGATTCCATTAAAATTCTTATAATTCTTGTCGTTATTTCGACATTTATAACGGAATGATTGTACATAACTGATGGTACGTGAATGGTGTATACTTTATCTACTTACTGTGAAAATTTGAGCAAAATCGTCCATCGTCCAAAAATGAAAATAATCTTATTAATTTTTTAAGTAAAAATTTCGTAAAACATAGGAATATCTGAAAAATATATTTGAACATAAACTGACAGGTTTTTGCTTTCCCTGATTCCCTGAAGATAGTAGAGACCTTAAAGACAATGACAGAGAACCGCTGCTAAAAATCTCTTGTAATTAACAGAACATATAGTAAAGAGAAGTAACAATTTTAATGTCATCGCCATGTGCCGGTAAAACTCATCAAAGAGGAAACTCAGATATCGTACCTATTTTTTTAAAATTTAGACTCCGCGAATGATCCAAAAAATAGAGAGTTAAGCGAATATAAACATACTTAAGCCATCTCGAAGATATCCATCTCAAAGCATGCCAGTTATTGTGACTGATGATGAAATGTGTTGTTTTTAATATAAGCCAAAAATAATATGACAGATTGCAATATGTAGTTAAACTAACTCCATACGAATTACTAACTGATATATACAAATTCTATATTCTTTGTAAGAAACTACTAGAAATGAAAATTGATCCAACTGATAAGTTCAAGAAATGTAATATATTTTTATCCTAAGTAGTTTAAGCAATATGTCGAACTTTGAAGAAAGTATTTATCTAAAAATCTGTTCTCTGTAAGGGGTAAAATTGGACAATTTCATTGGACAAAGTTTTCATGATTTTTATTTTATGAAAACGAAGTCATCTGAGTTATTACAAATGTTGTGCGTAACTTCTAATTACTATTAGCTAGTTTTGCAATAGTTGGCTTTCTTAATTATCTTTTTAGGCACATGAAACAGAAAGACATCCATTCTAATAAAAGTGGGATAAACTGACTGCTTTTATATTCCTTTCAATGTTGCTAAGACGACCATAAACATAGAAGAAAGTGAGATAAGTATGTCGACTTAGTCAACTAATTTTCGAACTGCATTCTCTGCCTAATTATATTGTTATTATTGTTTAACAATTAAAGAATTTTAATTACTGCTTGTCTGTAAATAAAATAAGTGACACTTCTTTAATTTAGTTTACAATTTATTGATAAAAAGTATAAAAATTATCATAACTTCAACAATTTTAGTTGCACAACTGTAGTTATGCTTAGAGAGAGAAGGAGCCCCAAGATTTTAGATTAAAATCAAATTATATTTATAAATTAATTAATTAATAATAAACAACAAGTATCCTACATATAAGTAAGACGAATTTAGTTATGATTTGATAAAATCGAATATCTTTCAAATGATCACTTTCAGTAGAGTGATTGGATGATGATATCGAAAAGCCTAGTTGAAGATACCCAATGACCCGTGGGAGATAATTCGAAATTTACATACTTTAATACGTTTATCAATCACAAAAACGTGAAAACATTATAATTTATATAGGTAAAATCTATTTTTTTTAGAAAAGATTTTATTTAATATGTTACATATATGTATTTTGTGGCGGTAGAACACAAAGACAATGTCTTGTTCTATAAGGTATACTCGTATATAGATTATATGTGTTAAATATGAATGTTTGATGTTATTGGGATTGAATCTGTTTTGAATATATTATAGCTACTAAGTATGCTGTAACTTGGGTATATTATCATTATTAAATATCAGATTTTTACCTACAAGCTGAAGTATTAAATATATGTTCTTGTAGAAATTAAACTTTCAAGAATTTATAATTATACAAAAACAAACTGCTAATAGTAAAATCCATGTAGATTTGGATAAAGCTATAACGTATATGATATATAATATTATATAATAACAAAGATTCACATTCCATACAAATGAACTTTCAATATCTGTTTGTAAAAATATTTTACAAATCTTGACCTTTGGGAAATTTAAATTCAACCATATATTGCCATTAAAATCTTTCTTTATCGGTTGGTTTCATTATACTATATAAATACACATATAAGATTACATTCCTAATCGATATTTTTTTAATATAGTCATAATAATCTTCATATCAAAATATTAGGAACAGTAGACCCTTCTCAATTCAAATATTACAAATATTTTTAGAAAATAAAGCAGATCTGATATATCTGGAATTTATATATGGAATTCAGTTCCATAAATTTTATACTGATTGGTTCAAAATATATTTTGCCTTACAATTATCGAAGAAATAACAGAAAGAAAGAAATATTGGTTTCATGTCATATTATTATACTCTTAATAAGCTTGTTATGTTTGTATGCTGCTATGAATGGAGAGTTGTTGTTAGTGTGTCTGTACCGGCGGTTGGGTCCAACGACCCCATATGGAGAAGACAAAGAAGATTTCTGCTGCATCTTCATTGAGGAGTATCATGGCTTCTATAAGCAAACATAACATATACAGGACAAGCAAATAATTTATATTAAATTTACACAAACTCTTTGAACACTTTTTTTTATTTGTGTTTGGTATTACCTTTATCTTTATCTTATATCTTTATTATCGTATAAACACTTACTTAGATTGGGTTAAACAGAGTTTTAATTTTCCGTGATATGTTTATTGTGATAAGTGATTTATTATCGTAGAACAAGAAGAATCTGACAACAGCAATAGATAACCGACATTGTGGAGAGCGACCAATTAACGCAACATAGAGAGGTGTATATATATATATCTACTACATCTAAGTAAAGAGGAGATAATTATAGTTGAAGCATTAGGTTATAAGTTTTTTGTTACAAATTGAAAATTCAAATAGTTTTATATTTTTATTGCTTAATTTTATGCAATGTAATGCTTTGTAATGCTTTGTAATTGCACTTTCAATTAAAATTTCTATTAGAAACTGTATAAAAGAATTATATCAGTATCAACAAATATGAGAGATATGGTTTTAAGCCATCGTTTGATTCTATAATATTAACATATTAGCACTTTTATTGGAAACCCTTCGCTTACTATTGCTGTTTTTATTGTTGCTTTTATATTTGGGTACCTTTAATATACCTATAATATATGTATGTACACACATACATACATTAAGTGCGTTCTTAACCAGATTTACCTCCAGTAATTTTTGTAAGAGAGTATGGACTTGGCGATTGAGATTATGAAACAGTAAACTATTTCTTTTTATTTAATTATGAGATTTTAAATAGAACAGGAATTACAATAAATTTCATTAAGCTGATAATGTTGAATTAACCAAGATTGAATCTTCTAGATAAAAGCTATCATTAATCTGATTTCAAAGTTTTTATTTTTTTGGCCTGTCTTAAGTGTTCATGTTGTGCTTTTTTATTATTTTTTACAAGAAAAAAATAATGACAAAATAACAAAAATAATTCATTAATTTTTGACAAAGAAATATGTAATTCATATATCATATATGCTTAGATTTTAATTATATACATTTTTATTTTATTGTTTTATTTATATTATTATTTAACATTTAATAAATTTACAGAATTTTTTAATATTTATAATTATTATAATACTAATAGAAACTAAATGCCAAATATTAGTTCAATCTAACATTCATATAATGTAATTAATCTATATCCTTCATTCCGACCATTATCCAAACATTTTCAAAATTTGGCTTGTCTCACTAAAAAAGTTGGAGATTGTTGTGCTTTGAAACAGAGATGTAGACACAGCTATATGATATATATAGTTTATGCTTTTGTTAGCTATCGTCAAAATTTGTAAAGTTTCGATATCTAACACTTGCGTCTGGAGTATAGAAAATCAATTTTTATTTCTTGAATTAGAAAATATATATATTATGTATAGATTATATACATAAAACGTGTGTGTAACTTAATCACTCTATTACCCAATTACCAATATATGACTCAATTGCTTATGGAAATAGTGCGGCGCTCTCAAAGACCAATCTTCTTACAATGGCAAAAACTTAACATTTTGAAGAAGATATATATTTCTTAATTATATCTTTTTATAAAACAGAATTATTATAAAACATGTGCATAGCAAGTCGTATAACTCATCTCTCTCAAAGCAAAAGAAAGTAGAACACTTTTCTGAACTATATTTTATGTTTGTTTTCAGTACCGGAATATTTACATAGGCTTCGTTCTGATATCTCTTCATTGATTTTTAAGCCCCTCAATAATATAAACTCTAAAACAAATTTTGAGGCACATCTACTCAGTAATTCATTACATTTTATACTTATAAATTATTTCTATTTAACAAACTTACAGAGAAGTATACAAAGCATTCAAATTATATACATCCATCAGTTAGGGATTTTATATAATTGTTGTTTAAAAACTATTCTGTCTCTCAAGTGATATGAAGAATATATAGAAATGGAACTTAATAATCTTTCTATTGATTTCTATTGATAGAATAGAATTCTGTTCTATTTTTATTTTTTTTCTATTGCTGCTCAAGAACAAGAGTGATTAAAAAATAAATATAAAAATTCATGTACCATTTATATCGTTTATATTTTGTCGTTTATATTTAGAAATAATTGAGTTGACAGGTTTACCTTGAATTTACAAAGATACCTCATGAAGACAGCATAATATGTTATCGTTAAAGTTACCAAGCGCATCGAGAACTTGACGATATGACGGTGTTAGTCTCATCCCATACAATCTCATAATGGACGTGAATATCTCTCTGTCTTAAAAACTCTATCTATTAATACAATGCTTTATATTGTATTATACTACACTGACTATACAGTTCTTAATTCGGACAATGAATATGATTTACAACGATTGCTTTATAGATTTGAGAAAATGAGAGTAAACTATAACATGTAGATATTGAAAGTAAAATCTATAGCGTTGACTATATTAAGGCACCTGCTGCGATGTCATTTAGTCATTAAATACGAATGCATTAAACTAATCATAAAGTTTAATTATATTAGAGTAAATACGACATCACTGAAAGATTTAAAAAAAAGTGGAAAATAAGTTCAATCCCAAAACACTACTCAAATATCAACGATGGCAGTACTCTGAGTCTGGTCATACGAGTACACAATTTAAACCAAAACTGATATTGCAAAACGGAGTATTACGTAGACATGTTCCAACATGAAAATGCGATTTTCGCAATCAATGTATAACTGACCCCATCCTCATTGCTTCAATCCACAAAGAAGTTATTGAAAAGGCATTCGATACATAAAACAGAACTGAATGGAGCAGTAGTGGAATGAAAGGATTGACATCGCCACGTCCAAACAATGCCCAATAACAATCAGATGACTGGGAGTACTGTCCTCGTGGCAATGGTATGAATGTTGGATTGATAAAAGAAATTGGATTGCATTTTAAAAGACAATAACTTATGAAAATTTAAGAGGAGTATATACTATAATATTAACTTCTATATACAACACAATATTAATATATTTTAATTGCAGATCAACCAGTAAGACTTCAAATTTTTACATTTAAAATAGATTAAAGTTAATATGTAAAAACAAAATACTATGTATTTATTATAATATGGACATGTAAATATAAAGAGAAAATAATTTATCAGTGCTTTCTATGTTAATCTTATGAAGAATTGTAGTCAAGCTTACAGACATGAAGTTCTCTCTTTGTAATTTATTTAGATAGTGCCCTACTAAAAGTTACCTAGTTAGGTTATTAGGATCTTTGAATGATCGAAGCGTATACCAAGTTATTACCCAGCTTTCAAGTTACTCTTGAATCATATTAATTTTTATATACCGATGGACAGTTGCATTTTTTAAATACCATCAATGGAGAAATTGCTCTCATCAGAGGTGAGAATGTTTGGAAATTCGCCTCGTTCGTGCAAGCGTAACAACTTGGTGTAAGATCTTGGTGTAAGATCGTATAGCTTGTGCTAGCTTGTAAACAATATAAGCAGCTGTCAATGGTATGAATTTCACGTAGTTGGCAATATCAGTTTGACATATATACCTGTGTGTAGTTGGTAACACTTAAATCGGCTAACCCTGTATACTATTCAAACATAACCTATTAAATAAATTAAATTAATGTATATAATAATTAATAGTTTAATAAGAAATTAATATTTTATATATATTAATTTTAAATACTTTAATCTATTATTAACGATATCTAAGAACTGTACAATAAATGGAGAGGTTTTTTTTTCTGACCTCTCTAACAAATAAAATGTTAAATTCTTTCAAGCTTTAATTTTGTGATATTTTCCTGTAAAAATAAGCAACCAATGGAACTTCGTTAAGCCAATATTTACTTATCATTTAAGAGAGCACACACAGCGCCACATATTTACACAATAACTCAATATGACATGTATCTGCATAAATTACGAAATATTAAGCCATAATCCATTGTCCTACGACCTTCCGCACAAACTTTTCTACTGACACAAAAACGGAAGCGTTTGAAAGGAAATTTATTAATAAAAAATATTTGTTCTTGTATTTAGAACTTCCATGCAATTTTCCGACAAGGACCGCACTTTTCATGTCGGGAAATGTGCGTACATGGCGACTTCCGTAGCGGTTTATGTACAACAACATAACATAAACGCTTGATGAAATTAGCTCAAATACAGAGTAAATAATGAAAGAGAGGTAAAAAAAATTATAATGAATAAATAAATGAAAATTAGAAAACGCATTTTCCCGCGTACATACAGCGAAACAATTAAAATTGGCGCCCTCCGAAGCCCACGGCCGGAATTGACAAAATTAATTAATTTTCTAAACATTTTCCCCTTCCACTTCCTCCTATTTTAGTATTCGTACAATCCTCCTCACGTCAAAGCTAGGAAAACAAAAAATAGTCATAAATGATATTTTTAATCAGATGTAACGTTATAGGTCTTCACTGTAACAGAATGAATTATTTTTTACAGTGTACAATTTAGTAGATGACCCTGTTATTCCGCGCTGCTTGTATAAATATTTTCGTCAATTGTTTTTTGATTAACTTATTATGATTAAATGTGAATGTGAAGGGATAATAGAAGTGGCATGTACGCTGTGTTTACAAAACCTGGAATACACTCATCCCAAGGGTGCAGACGTACTCACAACGAAACTTACACTTTCATTCGAGTTGAAAACGCCATCAAATGCCACTTTTACACTTTTACTGGTAAGTCCTCTACTTTTTTATTATTATTTTTTTTTTTTTGGTTGATTTTTTATATCTGTAATATGTTGGGTGTGCTGAGGTGTTCATCACTCGTGTATCTTGCGTCATGAAAAAATTAATGCGACTGGAAAAGTATCAATCTTACCACTTTCAATGTCAGTATTCAACAAGTGCGCTCTGTTAGTGGTTGCTTACATTTCGAAAATACGGGTATATCCGGTACTTTAAAAGAAGTGCATCAATTAAGTCAATTGTTTAACTTAAAAATTTCACGTAGCAAACATAATGGGCTTAAAATTTTTGGAACGTTTTACGCAAGCAGACAACATTTTTCAATCGTTACGCCCACTTATCTATATCTCGCTCATCGGTCTGGCACCTTTTCGTATGAATTCACAGAAAGGATTGCGCACATCTGCTCTGTCCTTTGTCGCTGGAATTGCACATTTCTTGTTTTTTGTTCTATGCTTTTATCTATCATTGCGAGAAGGTGGCTCCATTGTGGGTTACTTTTTCCAAACAAACATAACAAAACTGGGTGATGCAACGCTCTCGCTAACTGGTATCATTGCCATGTTGACTATTTTCGGATTTGCGATTTTTAAACGGAACGCTCTAATACAAATCATACAGAATAATTTGGTTGTTGATGAGATTTTCGTGCGCCTTGGCATTAAACTCGATTATCGTAAGATTTTGTGGTACTCGTTTGTCATATCGGTGGGTATGTTGCTCTTTAACGCCATCTATTTATGTGTTAGCTATATGTTGCTGCGGTCCGCTCTGATCTTGCCCACGTTCGTGGTTTTTACGACATTTGCTTTGCCGCACATCAATATCAGTGTGATGGTCTTCAAGTTTCTTTGCACTACACATTTGGCTAAAAGTCGCTTCATTATGCTGAATGAGGTAAGTAAATTTAATAATAGATAATACTTATGAACTATAAGACATGTGTAGATCTATACATCTTTATAGAAGATTTGTTTTCTTGCAAATAAGTAAAAAAAACATATTTCTAATCATGACAATTCTTGGCAACATCTTGCTAAAGTCTAGCTAGTATAGACGATCCGGTAAATACCTTTTTCATACTTGCATCCTAAATACTAAATATGCCTTTCTTAATTTCTATTAATGAGTTCGATTAAAAAGAAGACATATGTTAAATTGTGTTCAATACTTTTTATTAATAATTCCTTGTGAAAAGAGAATAAATTTCGATTAAGAACAAGCATATCAATTCTAAGTAAAAGACAGTTTCTTTCTGGTCATGGACATTTTCAAAAATACGTTTTTCGAATCGGTAAAGTAAATGATCCGAAATATGTATATAGAGATGCAGACGAGGACAAGGTTGAAGACATCACTTACAAATACAGTAATGAAAGAACATTGCTTGAAACAAAAGTAGGTGAAATAAAGCCGGTCGTATATATTACAATGAAATTGATGCTAGCAGATGAAAACTGGAGCACCATAGACCGATTCGTTACAATCGTAATCAAACGGAAAAAATATGATCTCGAAAACTGATAATTACGAATTTCCTCGTCTTTTAATTTGACCTATGATATTGTCTTGTTTAACGAATTGCATTTTAAATTGATTGTCCATCTTTTTTTATTTAATATACCTAGCAGTCTGTGACATTTTATTGGTTTTCAAAAAGTTTGGCTTGAGAGGTAAAAGTAGTCGTCAAACGAATATGTGATATGTCCCACAAACAAATATTTTCAAGAGATTGCAGTAATGCTCAAAGGTTAAAAAATAAAAAAATTAACAACGTTCCTTTCCATATTGGGCGCAAACTATTCACAGATTATCAAAGGTAATAAGTATTACTCCTAACAAAATTTTGATGATATTACTTCAATAGCAATTTCTGTTACTTTCAATCTCCAGGCATCCAATAAATATCGATTTTGTTGTAGATATCAAGAATTAAAATATAATATTAAAATTCTGAGTTATAATATATGTATATCTGGAATGTATTTAAACTTAATTGAAAAAACTTCCAATATATAACATTTCTCTATTTATGATGTTTATAACTTTTTCTTTTTAAATAATAATAAAATATTTTATTCATCAAGCAATAATTTTTATTTCTCCTTCATTTTTCAAGATTCTCCAAGAAATTTTGGACTCGCATATTGAACAGTCTAATGCAATGGAGCTATCACCAATGCATTCTGCTATTGGCATTAATCACAATACAACGCAACATCGTCGCGTTAATCCAGTTATGCAAACAGCTACTCCACGGTACAGTGTTACATCGATAATACGTCAAAATCCTGAACTATCACTAAAGCAAGTTACGAATGTACACAATTTACTGTGTGATATATGCAATACAATTGAGGAGTATTTTGCATATCCCATGCTGGCTATCATAGCTATATCCTTTCTATTTATATTGTTCGATGATTTTTATATACTTGAAGTAGTGCTGAACCCACATTGTGTGGAAACTGTTGAAGCTGATGAATTTTTTGTGTTTTTCTTTGCACAAATGCTCTGGTATGTAATTATTATAATCCTAATTGTTGAAGGCAGCAGTAATACAATTAAGGAGAGCGGAAAAAGTGCTGCTATTGTGCACAAAATACTCAACATAACTGATGATCCAGAAATACGTGATCGTCTATTACGTCTCACATTGCAGCTATCACACAGACGCGTACGTTTTACTGCAGCTGGACTATTCAATTTAGATCGAACGCTAATTTTTACGGTATTACTATATATATAATATTGAAATATAGATCATTTGTAAATAAAATTATAATTTATTTGTTTTTCTTTTTAATTTTATTAACTATTCATTTGTTAATAATTTGAATTGATTTGAATTGACACACTCTCAGATTACCGGTGCTGCCACTTGTTATCTCATCATTTTAATACAATTCCGTACTATGTCACACCGTGATGGAGGAACTGGGTCTGCAAATGCTACAGATAGATGTATACCTTAATCGGTTTATGCAATTTTAATGTTGCTTTTTACTGTTATAGATTACAAGATGTGTATATTTATATTAATGTAATAATGCCTTGTAAATTTGCGATTTGTTTTTAATAAAATCTGTGCCTTGAAGTAAAATAAATTTTGTTTTCTGTTATCTTATATATTATAAATAAATAAAAAAAATTTTTAACTTATATTTTGATTTTCTTTCTTTCCAAATTTAGAAAGAAAAATATTTAAATTAAAAAATTAAGAACATCGAAAAAATGCTATATTTAATAATGGATTAAACATTAAATTAGTATTATTAAACATATATCTAATGCGTTTTTTAACTTACCTTAGCTATATGCATAAGATATTATTTTATTGCAAAAAACACGTTGTTGTCAAGGGAAATTAATTTTTTTATTCAAAATATTAGCCATCGTCATTTATATATTTCGCCCATCTCTCAGATTATTTATGAATGCCATTCGTCGAGCCATTTTCCAACTTCCTCGAATTGTTAAAGTGCTGCTCTGCCATTACGTACCACATTAGACGTGAAAAGATGATATTCTGGGGTCTGGGAGTTTTCAAGGTGTATTTTACTGATTTTGCAGTGAGTCCCACACATCGTGTAATAAAATCACTTTCCTGTGTCTTATGACCTATTCCGATCGTCTTTCGATCAATACGCGATTTAGTTTAATCACTCGTTTGCGATAGTGTTGTGAACCGGGCGGGTCACCATAGTCTTTCAACCCATCACTCATTGACTAATCTTTGCATATACTCGTAACAAACATAAATCAAAACCACAGTGAAACTATATCTTCACAGGGCGACTGTTTCACGGCTAATCCCCCTGTGACGGCATTAGACGTATCGGATTTGGCGGCGTCAATTTCACGTTTGAGTATTTGGCTGACCATATAACACTGTTTTGAGTATTGCCAAGTACTCATCATCAATGATCTTAGAAAATATTCGTATTTTTAAAGTCCTGTATATAATTTGCAGGACTTCAAATTTTTAAGAATTACTGGACTTGTAAAATGTTTTACATTACTTACTTACTGCTGTCCTTCTCTCCTTGTGAAGCATAGGAGGGCTTCAACATTAATGCGTTACATTAGTGAATATATATCATTCTGTAAATCTGTAACTCCTTCGGTGCAATTTATTTCTGAATACCAAATATAAGTTGCAAGCCGAGCGTATTATTTTTAAGCAGAACAAAATAAAACCCTCTTGCTGTTTGGTGATTCACGGGTTCAATTAAAAAATTTATCATTCACATTATTCTGATTAAATTTCTTATGGACAGTAGGCAGGAAATATTTTTGAATTCTTTGCACATCAAGAAATAAAAAAAATTCAATTAAATTTAAATCGAATATAAACAGTAGTAACAAATGTCCGTAAGAGACATTTAAAAATTAATATAAATTTATTTTCTAGTAATTAAATTTTCAAAAATGGTATGCATTATAAACTTCGAGACGTCTGATAATAAAATTGTTATCTCGGATTTCGATACTTTTCGACAATGTAGAGCTATAAGATCTCAGATTCCTTCAGATAACCTTTGTGAAGAATCTAAGGTCAGAATTAAAATGGAATCAATTAAATCAAAAATAATGAGATTGATTGTTGATTGGTGTCGTCATCATGTTAGAGAAAATTGGTTCGATGTCGAGATTACTGAGATTACTGAATGGGACAAAAGTTACTTTACACTCGACACTTCCACACTGGACTGTCTTCTAAACGCTGCCAATTCATTAGAAATACATCGCCTTTCCGCTATGGCCGTCGAAAATAAACACAGAGCAAAAACTGAATATAATAATATTGTGCATTATTTGGAAAAGACCTTAGTTATGAAATTACCAGGAGATAAGTCCATACCAACACCAAGGCTAAGTGCACTGCAGAACCAAGATGGAACTGAGGAAGGTGATCAAGTTAAGTCAACAAAAAAGGTATCATCTAAGTCAACGTCTCGGAAATGTTTAATAATGTAGACTCTGGACTAGTCCACACCGTTGTTTAGATAATGTTTGCAAACACGGACCCAAAACGTAGTATATTTTATAGTTGCCGTCTTTTGACAAGCATTATTAATAAATAAATAAATTTTGTTTTGATTTTCACAACCTAAAAATGGTTTATTTTTAATTATTTGTAGAATTATTGAAATATAAATTTATTTATTTTTATTGAGTCACTTTAATTCAGTGTCCGTCAGCCATATATCGAGTCTTCTCGATAAGAAAGAAGGTTTATGTAGGCAGTCGTATACAAATTAGCTCCTAAAAAAAACAACTTTTGATATTTATTAGTAAACTAAATAAAAAACTATTTTAACCAGTAAGAGGAGGCGAGGAAAGTCTCATCACCATGACTAGACGGTGCCCGTTAACTCGGTATACGATAAATTGTTAAAAAACGGAGCCTAAAAGAGACGAGTTGATCGCTTAGAGAAAACGATTAACTCGACGATGTAAACCTGGCCGCTTCTAGACTAATTTCAACACAAAATTTTAGTATCATAGTTTTCAAATATAATAAATTATACCTTATATTCTTTTGATTATATTACTCAAGCTCTCTTATCATTGTTAGTATTTAGTATTGGTATCATAAGATTTTATTAAAAGCATTTGCCTACTTTTAATCCGCCATCTCGGAGAAGCAACCACTATATGGTCACAATATCAACTTATAGGTCTGTAGATCTGCCGATCTACAAGAGCAGCCGCCGATTATATATATCTTAATATCTTGCCACAATTTTGATGACAATAATAACAGTAGCAATATATAACAATACCATTTAAAACAATAATGACATATATATAAAATACATTTCCATAAAATATAGTTTAAATTTCTAAAGCTTGTGAAAATTCTTCAAATTCTTTTAGCGAAACCACCCATTTTCTTCTTAAATAGACAAACAGCCGTCATATAGAAAGTTTCAAAATATATTTACTATAGAAAGAACATTAAATTTTTGTTTTTTTACAATAACAAAATAGCTATATTTTTATTCATATATTTTAAATATATATATATATATATATATATATATATATATATATATATATATATATATATATATATATATATATATATATATGTATATATAAATATATCTATATACATATATATATAGGTATATATATTAATATATATATAGATATATATATTAATATATATATAAATATATATAGGTATACATATATATATATATATATATATATATATGTATATATATAGAATTTGTTTATATATAAAGAATTTTTATAATATTTTCTCATGTTATATTCTTTCTGTTTCTATTACAATAATAAACAAATAAAGTATTAATAATAATAATTATATATAATAAATTTTGTTTTTAATAATAATAATTATAATAATAATATTTATAATAATAATAATAATCATTTTCATCATTTTATAATATTTCATGTTCATAGTTTAGTTTTTCATATTTTTTCATCATAATATATTCAACTTGTATTCATTTTTATTTACGTTTTTTATTAAAATATATATGGTATTATTAATTAATAATTGTTTACAATACACCTCATACCACTAAATAATGCACATAAGTTTTATTTTTTAAAGGATTTCTTATACAATATATAAATAATAATTTATTTTGTTTCTTTCGTTTCCTCACGTTATAGTTAAATTCATATTATGTTTTCAATTTGTTTTATGGAATTTTTAAAATTTTAGTTTATATATATATATATATATATATAAAACTAAAATTTAATTTATTTTTTAATTTGTTATAATAAATACGCACGTTAATATCTCGCATATCATGGATTCCAATTTGAAATAATATTATATTTTTATAAACATTAACAAATTATTTATAATTATTAAATTTTTTATTACACATATATTAAGTTTAATAATTTTTATTTATCAACAACATTAACATTATTAAATTATATATGTACTTATATTTTTAAATATTTCTTGAGTTTGAATTGTAAATATATTAAGAAATTTATTATTTTTGTTTGACAGTATTTTGTTTTTATATCTTAGTTAATATTATTATTTTTTAAAATAAAAATGTATAATTATTATCCCTATTTACTGCATATTAAGTTTGTTTTCATTTAATTTTATACTTAATTCTGTTTCAATTTATTTTATTATAGTTATATAAAAATTACATTAATACGTATAGACTTAGTACAGTTTTTAGATTTAAATTATGTTTAGTTTAATTTTCAAAACGTTAACTAAATATAATTCCTTTTTTATTTTATAAATATAATATTTTTTATTATCTATATATTTTGATTTTCTCTTCTTTTGTTTATACCATAATTACTAGAAAGAAAAATATTTAAAATTTTTAATAAAATTAAGAACATCGAAAAAATTTAGCTATATTTAATATGATGGTATTATATTACATTAAATATAGAATAAATAACAATATAGTATAAACTCATGAGTATACTATATACAAATAAATTAGATGAGAGCATAAGATATTATTTTATTGCAAAAAACACGTTGTTGTCAAGGGAAATTAATTTTTTTATTCAAAATATTAGCCATCGTCATTTATATATTTCGCCCATCTCTCAGATTATTTATGAATGCCATTCGTCGAGCCATTTTCCAACTTCCTCGAATTGTTAAAGTGCTGCTCTGCCATTACGTACCACATTAGACGTGAAAGGATGATATTCTGGGGTCTGGGAGTTTTCAAGGTGTATTTTACTGATTTTGCAGTGCGTCCCACACATCGTGTAATAAAATCACTTTCCTGTGTCTTATGACCTATTCCGATCGTCTTTCGATCAATACGCGATTTAGTTTAATCACTCGTTTGCGATAGTGTTGTGAACCGGGCGGGTCACCATAGTCTTTCAACCCATCACTCATTGACTAATCTTTGCATATACTCGTAACAAACATAAATCAAAACCACAGTGAAACTATATATTCACAGGGCGACTGTTTCACGGCTAATCCCCCTGTGACGGCATTAGACGTATCGGATTTGGAGGCGTCAATTTCACGTTTGAGTATTTGGCTGACCATATAACACTGTTTTGAGTATTGCCA